TTAATGACCCGTTTATTTCTCATTTATGTAAGAATTTCTCTATAGTTATTCAGGGACCCAGATTCCTTTAATCTTACAGCTGTGTTATCCTGTGTTATCCTCAGCCTTTCTCAGCCTGAGTTCTCTGGAGAAATAAGCCTCAGGAAAGTGATTTGGCTGACTAGTTTCACATTCACTGCGTACAGTGAAGACCTTATGGCATCGTTCTCTTGCTTGGAACCCTATTTGAGAAGGCTTGGCTGAAGGCCTTGCAGTCATTTATATCCAATCCAGCAGAATATGGAAGTTTTTAAAGGCCACGGTCTGCACACGACACACTGTCATTTCCACTCATGTTCCGTTTGCCAGCGTGGCCAGGCCATGTTACCTGGTGTTGCGCCCGCAAGGACAAGAAACTCGAGGTTTGTGCCAGTAGCCAGCAATTCCTTCTCTACGAGGTAGAATTCTGCATTGAGGTTGACTGCGGACTGGTTTAATGACTAAAACAGTAGCCAGTGTTCACATCTCAGTAGCACTCATATGCAGTTAAGGGAGAGAAGCTTTTCCTCCGAGGTAACTTAATTTTGCTGGTTTCTTCCATTTGGCCACTTAGGATTACCTCTTCTATATCTGAAGTGTGAGCTTTATGGAGTCCTAATTTTAGTGAGATTATGCCCCGTACTACCTCTGTTTTACAGTTTCAACCTATAAGCTCAAAAGATATCCACATATACTGTGTTATTTTCAGTAATCCCCGAAGTAGTAGAGAATCTTCTATCTGCCTCAAAGATGAGGAAGCTGAAGGGATTAATCACTTAGCAAAACTCCAGTCCCACTGTTGAGTCCTTTTCTAAAGTTTTAACGAGTCTAACAAACCTTTTGAGATTAAAATCTCTAGTTGGTGCTGGTTTTAAATTGTATGGCACTTTTCATTTTTAGGGACCCTAACAGAATAATTTCATCAAAGGTCATTCTGTTGTTCAGCCAAAAATCTTCCTTTTTACACCTAAAATAATTCAAGGGGAAGGCTTGAGGGGGTCATCTGCAGCAAGATATTTTTAGGTTACAAATAGGTTATTTTTTCACATTAATTTGATCTTCTTGATATTAGTACCTCTGAGTTCAGAGAGGCACAGTATTTCCTACAGGGTCCCGCAGCTTGGTAAGCCATGGCACGGAGGCTGGAAACCGAGTCATCGTGGCCCTTGCTGCTAGTCCCAACTGCTCTCCAGCAAGTAAGACTGGACGAGATGGAAATGTTCATGAAACATTCAATTCCCTTTTTTTCTCCTTTGAGAAGTCACCATATTCAGCTTAGAGATGAAAAAAACTGGTTATGTTTGTTCTCTTTTTTGTTGTCTATTTTTCTATCCTTATAGAACCTGAATGCCTTCTAGAAGCTGCAGTTTAAGCTCTATTTTGTGCTGAATTTTGTTGAAGTTTTAAGTGAACACTCAAGCTTCATTTAAAAGCTGATCTTGAGGATTCCAGTATGTGGGAGAAAAGCTTTTCAGTCATTTTTCGAGCATCCCCTTTAAAAAGTCACCACTGTCAGGTACTCAGTATTTTAGAGAGTATGGTTTTTATTATTTCCCACCATGTCTGCCTATCCAAATACATCAAGGCTCAGCTGAATGCTTTCTCCTTAGGAGACCTTTCCTCACCCATTCTATTCTTCATCTCTCATTACATTCTGTGTTTATTTAAATGTTAATCTCCTATTAAGTGAGAACAGGGGCTGCATCTTAATCAGCTTGATCCTTCCCGTGGCGCTAAGTGAAGCCTTCAGCACAGAGAAGCATCTGCTGCTCTCCATGGATTGTCCTTAGTCGGCCTGTCAGCAGCTTCAGAAATCAAAGAACTAGGAACTTTATAACTATTACGCAACTCTAGAAGTGCTTTACAAGAATGATTTTCAACATTATTAAAGTTTCAAATTTTATAATTAGCAGTTACAAATCTGCCAATGCAGAGTCCTGTGATCAGAGAACTAAATTATCTCCAATTTTACTTTGAAACTGAAGTACAAGATGACACCCATTGCAGCCTGGTGTTTTGCATTTTGCCTCTTTCCCATCTGGCCCCTGCCCACACTATATGCTCTAGCTCCTGTGTTATCATTTATATGGTACAGAAATCTTGTCCTAAAATGATGCCACATGGACAGTTCCTAAGTAGTTTTCAAAATTGTCTATGTGGACTGATTTTGCATCAGAGATGGAATCATCTGCTTTTGCAGGATTGTCCGGTTCATGAAGGCTGGAGAGCCTGCCTCTGGTGTCACACTCTCCAGATATCAAGGACCCTTTTAACAGGGTTTGTATTGCCTCAGTGTTATAAGTGGGAAGTACATAATGGTGTTGAAGAGATACTGCAGCCAAAAACTTCTTGTTGAGAAACTACCGACCTGGTAGTTGCTGTGTCTTGGTGTTCTGCGAACCAAACCGCCATGTTCGGTGGAGTCCAAGAGATCAGTGAGCAGTAGAAAAGCCAGGTTCAAAACTGAACAGCCCCTTTCTCCCCTAGGCTTCATTTACCACATCTTTAAAACGAGGGACTGGAGTTAGATTATTTATAGGGTTTGTCCTTAAAAATTTAGTTTTTCTTCCTCTTAACAGAAATGCTAATATGCTCTCAAAATAACTTTCTGAAAGTTTTCTTAATTCCATCACGGATAACATATAAAGGGGATTTGAGCGTACACAATCCATAGTAAGTGCCAAAGCAGTCTCTGTAAGGCTGCGCTCTCTGAGTGCATAGAAAGGGTATAAAGTTGGGAAGAATAAGAACAAGCTAAGCCCACAGGCATGAGCTGGAGCCCACGAGCACATATTAAAATTTGTATCAGTTTTTACCTCCGCCCCTGATGGTGTGGGCACCCTGCAGAAACAGACCCTCCACCGGAGAAGCTGAGGGAAGATCCAGGGGAAGAGGCAGAACAGTCGCAGGCCCAGTTGCTGACCGACACCGGCGAGGGGAGCCTGTAGCTAGGTGAAAACGTGAGTGAGGCGTAAAGCGGCTGCTGCTTCATTCCCGCCCTCCAAATTTTGCGTGAGAATTTGTGGCTCACTCTAACTGGAAACGTAGGGAAGGAAATTCTGGGAAATGTAGCTCAATCTAGCAAGGCGATACCTCCTTACAAAGCACCACAGTGGTTGTCACAGGCAGTGGGATTCCAGATGATCATTACTTTCTATTTTTATCTGCTGTTTTAATTCTTCACAAGGAACGTCTAAGAGGTGCTGCCGCAGATGATGTTACTGCAGCGACAGCGGAGTCTGGCTCTCCAGGACTCTGTCCCCTCGGACACTGAAGTCCTTTTCTGTAGTGTACAGAAGATTCTGTGCTGAAAGCCCATAAACACATCGAGATTAAGGAGAAACTAATAAGCACATTTTAATACTTGCCTAGTGTGCTTAGATTTAGAGTCAGCCCTCCAGAATTGGAAACGTTGGGTGGCCTCTTAGATGTTACCTAGAGCCACGAGTCTCCAACTGTTTCCCGCACACCTGACGGTTTCACCTGCCCAGCATCTTCCTTGGGCCTTCCTGGGGTTATGCCACTGACAGGGTGTCAGCTAGAACCTCAACCCCTCTCTCCCTCATGAAAACGTCAGAAAGCAAGTGGATGAACGTAATAGGATGAGATAAAAGAAATACCTAGAATGAGTTCTGTTATCTTCCCACACCCACACAGTAATGGGCCGTTTCACATGCACACAATTTGGGAGACCACAATTTTTAAACCGTAGTGTACTGACACGCTCGAGTGGGATTACACCTACTTGTTATACTAATGGTTTAAATTTCAAAGCTTGTCTTAAGTTCCTCTAAAAATTTGTGTTTTATTAATACTGAATATTAGTAAATTATAAATACTGAATATTTGTAAACATCCATAATAATGGGCACACATGCTGAAACATTTTCTACTGACTGGGGTGCAAAATCAAAAATTATATGAAACTATTAACCTAAAAGAAAGTGAAAATCATTTTCTTCATTTAAATGGAAACTTTAGAAAAGAGTTCATACAGTTTTAGGAGATAAAAGAAGAGCCCAATGCTATTCCTAGTAATTAGTAAACCCCAAAATAAAAGCTACTGCAATGGCTAGTAATAAATGTAAACAAGAAACAGAGATACAGTATTGGACTAAAATGAGAATAGCATATTTCAACTGAAGATGCAATGACACCTAGACCCACCCATCCACACCTACATTTAGGTGGCAGTAGTTATTATTATAAAACCCCAAAACGGATCAAGGAAAATGGAATTAACAAAATGGACAGCTTCTTGACATTTTGATGTGGCCTTTTAGCATGTGGTCTCTTAAAAAAAAGGCAGCTAGTTTTATAGTCGACCCTGCAGTATTTAGGAAAATGAAAGCCGTAAGTGAGGCTATACCATTGAGTTCCACAAAGGGCCACAACTCCAGGATGGAAAAGCAGGGGGAACCTGGGAATGACCACAACATGGCACAAGCTGCCTATCTTCTTTACTGGCCAGCCATCTCTTGAGGCCGTGATGGTTCAGGCCAGGCCTTTTCCAAGGGAGGAACACTGCACCTCATCTAAGTCTGCACTGTCCTGGGGGAGTCACAGTGGAACAAAGCCAGAGGCAGTGGGAGGAAGTGTAATGGGCCTGGCATGAACAGGACATAAGGCTGTGTGACCTGCTAAACCAGTGTGTTAGGAAGGGCAGAATCTGCAATCATTTACGAGTATTAAAATAAAACACTGGAAAAATGGATGAATCATGAAGATTTTGTGCTACGTGAAATAAGCCAGTCACAAAAATACAAATATTGTATTATTCCTCTTAATGTGAGGCATATGTGAAGTCAAAGTCAGAGACAGACAGTAGAATGGTGGTGGCCAGAGGCTGGGGAAGGAGGAGTGGGAGTTACTGTTTAATGGGCACAGAGTTTCAGTTTGGAAAGATGAAGTTCCGGAGGTGGGTGGTGGTGAAGGATGCACAGCAATGTGAATGTACTTAATGCCACTGAACCATACACAAAAATGGTTAAAATAGTAAATTTTATGTCATGTATATCTGACCATAAAACAAATTTTTGTAGATCACCGAAGAAGTCAATATGGACAAAGAAAAACTCAACGTTAAAGAGAAAGAAACTTTTTTTCAATCAAGAGATAAGTGCATATCATTAAGCTCAAGGTTTAGATTGAGGACAATCATTGTGAGTCCTGGTAAAGGACCACCATACTCAGTTTTAAGAACAATGTCAGACAAGTCCCCTTGTAGCTCTTGCAGACTTTCCAGTACTGATGAAGGGTCTCCTTTCAGCTTTGTCCAGCCCTGTCATTCATAATAGACGAATGAAAAGTCCCAGAAACCTGTTCTGTTTGGGAAGGTTTTCTTTTGTTCTAGGCTTCGGTGGTTAATATGCTTGACAAATTTAAGAGTCTCTCTATCTCTGTAGACCAATGCCAAAGAATTGTTTTCTGGATTCACTGTTAGCAGCTGAAACAGGCAAATACAATGGCACATTAGAACACAGCTTATTCTCAACTCTTTTCTTCAATGAGTCACCACTGAACAGATGGTATCCATAATAAGTACTTAAGACTGGAGACAGGGGCTAGTAAAGATCCTTTACTAGGAAGAGCTACTGCTCTGGATGGCAAGACATTTCTAACAAGCCCCATTCCAATATATACCCAGAAAGAAAGGTTTCATTTAATGTATATATTCCTTGCTACATTGGAAAATTAATGGAAATGTACCATGCGGCTCTTATTTGGAATTTCTCAGGGTAGAATAAATGCTTAGTGATTATCCTTTAGCATCTTCATTCCACGCCGAGTACTTTCTAGTAGAAATTAGACCACTGCCAGGCAGAGCAACATGGATTTATCAGTTAAGGACACTGGTAGAAGGTCATAAAATTGGGTTTTTGAAGAATGGAAGCATCCTCAAGAACCAGAAAGATGGTTTGCTATCAGGAGCAACTTACCTCTTCATCTTCACCTTTGGCAATGTAGGAAGTAAAGCCGCCGTATTCTGGCTCCCAGCCTTACAAAGGGAAAACAAATGGTATTCAGAAAGCTCTCAATGCAAGAGTTGCATCATCTGCCTAAATCACTGATCCCAGGCTGCTTAAAACTGGGGGATCTGAGAGTTCAGGAGTAACCAACTCTATGATTTATGAGCCCAACTTTACTTACTGTTCAAGCAACACTGAATAAACTGAAAACTAAGAATTAATTACATAAAAGCTATAGATCAAGGAGGGAGGTGTTCTTGGAAATTATGGTTCGGTCCATCTCCCACACCCTAGTCCTACTCTGAGTTGGGAGAATGAAATTTATGACCCCTAAGGTCCCTTCCAACACTGAGCTCCTGTGATCTGGGATCCGGGCCAAGCCAGATACTTCTGAATTGGTTCAGTTGGAGAGGGGCGCCCAGGAGAGACTGCCCTCCTTAAGGAAACACTGCTTTCCGTCCTCCCTCTTACCTTCACAGCCACAGTAAAGAAGTAAGTCTAGGGCAAATTCAGTCTTGCCGTTGTCATGGATTAAAGTGTAGTGACCAGTCTTCCAATGCCTCAGTTCCCCTTGACATGTGGGAACACTTGATTCTAAGAAAAAACAACAGAAGGCCAGAAAAATATTAAAATCACTTGGATACCAGTGCTAGATCGCAAGGGAATGATAATTAGGAATGATACAGTACTAATGAGAAGTCATTCTCTTAAACCTCAGCTGACCTGTTCCACCAAATGAGCCTTACAACGACTGTCAGAAATTAGCAGGTGTGACTATTTGGGGGAAAAAAGTTGACTTTCTAATTCTGTCTTAACCATTGATTTCAGATGGAGTAGATACTTAGCTGCCAAAAATAAAAAATTAAAACATGAATATTACCATTTTTAATAGACTTTTTAGAGTGATTTTAGGTTTACAGAAAAATTTCCTAGAAAGTACAGTTTCCATACTCCTGTCCCCAGTTTCCTCTATTATTAACATCTTGTCTTAGTGTGGTACGTTTGTTACAATTGACAAATCAATATTGATACATTATTATTAACCAAAGGCCATGGTTTACATTAGAGTTCACTCTTTCTGTTGTACATTCTATGGTTTTTGAGAAATGCATGATGTCATGTGTCCATCATTACAGTATCATACAGAACAGTTTCACTGCCATAAAACGCCCCCGTGCTCCACCTGTTCACCCTTCTCTCCCTCCCAACCCCTTCCAACCACGGATCTTTTTACGCCCTAGTTTTGCACTTTCCCGAATGTCGTGTAGTTGGAATCCTACATTATTTAGCCTTTTCAGACTGGCTTCTTTTACTCAGCTATACACGTTTAATGTCTTTTCATGGCTTGATAGCTCATTTCATTTTAACTTTATCCCATTCTGGTTGGAGAAAATACTTTGTATATCTATCTTTTAAAATATATTGAGACATAATTTGTGGCCGAACATGTGGTCTATCCTGGAAAATATAAGCACTTGAGAAGAATGTGTATGCTGTTGTTGGGTAGAGTATTCTGTACATGTCTGTTACACCTAGTTGGTTTATTGTGTTAAGTTACAACATTATTAGAATCAAATGTCCAATTTTCAATAACGACAACAATAAAAAAATCACAAGACATACAAAAAAACAAAGTTTGGCCCAATCAAAGGGAAAAAGTCAACACAAACTGTTCCTGAAAAAGACCTGATGGCAGATATACTAGAAAAAGACTTTAAAACAACTGTTTTCAGGATGCTCAAAGAACTAAAGCAGATATGGAGAAAGTCAAAGAAACTATGTATGAACAAAATGGAAATATCAATAAAGAAACAGATTTAAAAAGAAATCAAAAAAATTCTGAAGCCGAAAAATACAATAAGTGAAATAAAAAAAAATTAACTAGAGAGATCCAAAGGCAGATTTGAACAGGAAGAAGAAAGAATCTGCAAAATTATCAAGATTGAAGAACAGAAAAAAAATATGAGAAAAAGGTGAGTAGAGCCTAAGAGACCTGTGGGACACCATAAAATGGACCAATATACACATTGTGGGAGTCTCAGAAGGAAAAGAAAGGGGCAGAGAGACTATTTAAAGCAATAATGGCTAAAAATTCCCCAAATTTGATGACAAAGACATGATATAAACATCGAAGAAGCTAAATGAATTCCAAGAAGGATGAACTGAAAGACACCCACACCAAGATACATTATAATCAAACTTTCGAAAAACAAAGAGAATCTGAAAGCAGCAAGAGAGAAGCTGATTTCTCATCAGATACTTTGGAGACCAGAAGGCAGTGGGCTGGTATGTTCAAATGCTAAAAGGAAAAATAGTCAACCAAGAATCCTATATCTGGCAAAACTGTCCTGAAGAGGGAGGGGAAAATGAAGACATTCCTAGATAAAAGCGGAGGGAGTTTCTTACCTATATACATGTAGATATGCATATGTTTAAATAGCAAAAAAGAGTGGAAGGATATATTTCAAATGTTAATAGTGGCCACCTGTAGGTGATTATTTTCTTTTTACTTATTTGTTTACCAAACATCCTGAAATGAACATGTTATTTTTACATATATTTTTTTAAAAACAAAAACTTAACATTGTCAGGTGCAACGGTTCTGGGTATCTTACTGAATGTCCCCTTGGTATGCCAACATTACCGCTATACATGCTTTAGCAACTGTATAGCTTTTACTTTAAAAAGCTTTATAGCTTTTATGATGGTAAACTTTGTGAACAGTGTCTTTGCTCATTTACATGTGTATTCCCCACTCAGCTCTGACCCAGGGCCTTGCATACAGTAGATGCTCAATAACAGAATAAAGCATCTATTGGTTGTGTGCATATATTTTCTTCCAAGTTGCAGGTTCACATAAAGACAAAACCAAAAAGGAATAGAAGTGGTCAAATACTTTTTTCAAAAAGCTCTCCAGGCCCCACTGATCTTCACCCAATTTTTTATAGGGCCTAGGTACAGATGCCAGTATCGATTATCAAGGAAAACCAACCTTTTAAAGAAAAGGCTGTCTTGTGTGTTGAATAGCACAGAAAGCCATCTGGGTCTGGTTTTCTGAATATCTGTGGTGACCAAAGTGACAGGTCAGTTTGGGAGACTACAGAATCTGAGTTATATTGCTTGTGGTTAGTATCTCACAATGCTGGTTTTATTTCCGTGGGTATCCACCTCCCTTATCTTTGCTCTTCTAACTGCATAGGGTCCTTCTCAAGAAATCCCGAGTGGAAGCAGAGCATGATACAACTGAGGAGAGGAACTGGATAGATTTTCTCATCGGATTTAGCAGGTACTGTAACACTTAGGTTGAATTTGTAGTTGCTCAGTTAATGGTGCCAACATTTCCTCAGAAGTATTACCTCTTAAATTTTCTGTATTTTTTCTTTTCCATCTTGTCTGTAGATAATTAAACTTCTTCTACTTTGAATAATTTCCTTCTCCCTATCTGTCCAAATTCAAGCAGTCTGTTATTTTCTCAGTCTGTTATTGCTCCTTAGCAGAAATAACCTGCTCACTTTCCTCTCCTTTATGCTCTTATGTTTTAGAGTAATTTTAGGCAAAGCCAGTCATATTTCTCTCTACCGTTTGTACTATTGCTAGCCTAATAAAATATACCAGCTGTTACTCCAAACCAGAATGCTCTTCCTGCAGATCTTTCTTGTCATTCAGATCTGAGCTCAGCTGACAGCAACTCAGACAGGCTTTTCCACATTGCCCATTCACCTGGAGGCCATGCAGTCACTCGGTCATTCCTGAGCACATACCGCATCAAAAATATCTGCACAGCATTTATCATTATTGACGTTTTCTAGTTGTTGGTGTATACATTTAATCTCTGTCCTCTCCTATTAGAATGTAAGCTTGAAGAGAGCAGAGACCTTGTCTGTTTTGTTCTTTAGCTCCTGAAACAGGGCCTAACATACAGCAGAGGCTCAAGAAGTATTTGTTGAATGAGTAAATGAGTGAATGGTGAATGCTTAATGGAAAATAAGGATGAGTCATAACAAAGCTTACCTTTCTCTGCTTCGTTTTCCCCTGGCTCTGGGTCTGTCTGTTCATTGCTCTTTTGGCTGTTGTTGCTGATGGCCGCCTGATTCTTCTCTGGCTCAGAGGAGCTATAGCTAGTCCCTTCTTCAGTGCCTTCGGAAGCAGAGGCTGCTTCTTCCTCTTTTGTGTCCTCAATTTCATCTTCTTCTGAAGGAGCCAAGAAGTGAAGTCTCAGGCCTGTGAAGTTGGACAGCAGCAAGAACAGAGCCTCGGAGCGAAACAGCGCCATGCAGTCCTTCAAGGTGTCGGGAAGCGTGCTTTCCTCAGCTTTCTCATAAAACCTGAAGAACAGCCATGTCAGTTGTTCATCAAAGCCACAGATGGAAAATTACTCATGGACTAAAAGCTGATCATTTGCTTTGTACCTCTCTCCCTACAGCTTGGCATAGCTTCCTAAATAAAGCACACACTGTGACAAGAGTGCGATTTTATCAGGGCTTGCTGTTGGATGTCCCTGAGTACCAAACGTCATCAGGGCAAATGTCGTATTATTGAAGGTGAGCCTTGCAGACAAATAGGCAAGTGCCAAATGCAGAAACTAATGTCTTAGATGATGGGGTCTACCTTTTGTTAGGGGGCCCTCGGCTGTTCCATTTCACATCTCCTTTCTCCAAAGCTTCACAGACCTCTGCAAACTTCTCAGGCTGGAAAATGAGCAAATAAAGCAGTTAGCAAATAAAGAAGCAGTTAGCAAATCTCCCTGTGGTCCCACACTGGTCTAACAGGTATAGCAGTCCCTCAGAGTCACTGTGGCTGATTCCTAAAGGGGTCAGTTAACTTTTACCCCCTTCATACAAGATTCCACAGTTTTGATAACGTGAAGCCAGAGAGAGACTGGATAAATTGTTAGCATGCTTCAGCCAAGAGACCTGTCATTTTGGGCCATTTCTTTAAGCAATTGTTTAGTTTATGTCAAAATGCTCAACCTCTAAAATTCCTTCATTTATTAAATGAAGATCATAATACGAACTTTTTAAATTAAAAAAATTTTAAATTTTTTTTTTTTTAAATACAGACTCTTTAATTCATAAGATGTAAGGGAAAAAAATTAAACTGTGTAACAGGCCACGTTATTACAATGAAAATTTCTGTATAACAACACAAGATTCTCTAGGCCTCAGCTCATTCCCTTTATTCAGTCAGCATTCTAAATTTGAAAGTCAAGTACAGTACAGAAGGTATTAACCTATTGAAATATTCTCACAGAAGGCTTTATATGTACTTGTTTAATGCAGTTTCCCGAGGAGTTTTCTAAAAACAGTAGTCCTATCAGCTTTAAGTAAGAAAAAGGACCCCAAAGCATGGTTTAGGTAAGCTGAATTAAACAAGTTTATTTACTAGACTACTACTCAACTTCCTTAATATGTTAATATCAGTTATAAGGTATAAGTATGTACTGTCCCTCAACCTTTTTTTCATGGAAGAACAGCTCTTAGGCCTGTGACTCCATGGGACCCAGGGCCAACTGTGAAGCACCACACCAGGGCACATGCTCCTGTTCTGCCTCGCGGCAACTCTTCAAGGTAGCTCCCAGGCAAGGCACGTATTATCCCAGTGTAACCGACGGTGAAACGAAAGCTCAGAGAGATTTCGTGTTTGGCTTCGGTTAGTAAAATCATAGAGCCGGGACATGAATATAAGGTCTCTGCCTTCTGATCTAGTTCTCTTTCCACTATAATGGGCTGCCTCATCGCTCAAACATTCATTAATAGGTGTTGATCAGTCAGTAATCTGTCACTAAGATATTTGTACCACATTCACGAGTAGGAAGGGAACTACACACAACTCTCCCTCAGTGTAGAAGCTTCTCTATGTGTGTACCGTTAAGGTTCGAGAGAACTGCAGAATACCCAAAGGAGTCTTAGCCCACTAAGCATACAACTGATACCAATGTTAGCTATTATCATCACTTCTATATTTTATTTGAAGTAGAGGATGACATAAATATTCTAACTAGGAACAAAAGGAAAAACAACAAAAACTCTCTTGGGGATGCCTATTCGCCCACCCAAGAAGCAAGACCACATGCCAAGCAAGATGTACTGGACGGGATGTGCTGACCTACCTTAAGGAACTCCTTTAAGAGAATTTCAGACCTTTCTTCAAACTCTTCTTGAATTTGAATTTGGTAATCCATGTCCAGATAAGTAGGGTTGATCCAGTCATACAAAATTTCATGCTTACAAAGAAGCGGCAGATGCAAAAGGCGAGTTAATAATTCCTATTGCTTGTTCTTACATCATTTCACACTAGTAAAATATATGCAAACCCCTACTTTATAACTGTCTCCCCATTAAACATAAAGTGCTGGAAAACTCTGCCTGAGAAAGACACTATCAAAAGTTTATCCAAGAAAAGTGGAAGGGTAAGCTCAAAGTCCAGTTTCATTATCAGGAACAGCCAGTTTTAAAACCAGGAAAACAAATGATGCTAAAGCTGCTAAGAAAACAATGCCGGCAACAGGAATTTATCCTTACATCTTGCGGGACGTGAGGGTTCCGAGGTATGACAGGTTCAAAGTAGTTGGGAGGCCTGGTCAGCGAAGGACCATGAAACCAGCCACTTATAGACAAACGCGACTTTTCTTCAGACAGGACTTCAGACACCTGAAAGCACAAGACCAGTGGCACATCGATACAAGGAATGAGGAGGAAGATCACCGGCCAAGGCACACTAATGTCAGGATCCTTCAAGCTGGCCACGTAAGTCCAACAGGAAGCTGTCACATTTAGATAATGAGTGACTGAAAAGCTTGGTCCTTAGTACTCTATGTATTTGTGGCTCACAATCTTTACCTGGTGAAAGGATACTGGAGACACTTCGAAGAAAACCAGTGTGTTCCACGAAGGGACAAGAGACTTGACAATCTGCTTCGGCTGAAAGTGTTCTACACCAGGAGAGAACAGACCCATAAAAGTGATATCATCATCATTAACCATTTCCATCCAGGCCACCTCGTTTCACCATGACAATACTCAAATTTCTAAAGGTATCTACATATACCCTTCAGATCCCAAACTGCCACTCCCTTCCTTCTGTTTCACTCATACTTGCTGGTTCTGCCCGGTGACATCTGTTCTTCATTACACCACCCATCTATTATTGATGAAGGCTGAGAGTTTCCTGGTGTCAGTCATTAAAATAAAAAAACTCCAACTTCCTGTCAAACAGACCGGTTCTTGCAGAGGCGTGGCCCCAGGCAGCTTTACACGCTCTCCATCCTTCCGTGGTCCTACTCAGAAGTCAGGTCTGACTACTGCTCATCTTAAACCAACTAACTTACCCCTGGAGTCATGGCTATGTCCAGTACAACTTAGGTGGTTGTCAGGGCTGGCCGTGACTGACTCCTCCCGTAGCAGTCACTGTAATCAGTGGCTTCCATCTCCTCTGAGGAGCACAGACGTTGTGCATAAGAATTCAGAAGTGGCTGCGTGTGGAAGAGCACACATCTGTCTTACCATCAACACTGAACAGGTCCAGGGTGCCCCCCAAGCTGCTGTCCCAGGGAGGAACCAGGTACAGAATGAAGGCGATCCGGCGCCCTTCCAGCTCGTCGTCGTGGCAGAGCAGGGCATCTGCAACAGTTTAACGCACACCTTAACGTCCCTGCGCAGACAACGGGCAGCTGATACGACCCTGCATTTAATACCTGTCCATCTGACAGTCATCTGCAATGTCAGCTCCTCTGGCGCTCAAATGACACTTATTTCTCCTTTTTCATAATTAGAGAAATAAAACTCCCTATTGAAAACTAAAAACACCGAAGAACACGTATGTAGTAAGACCTATAGATAATCACTAACAATATTTTAACATATATTTTTCTAATATTTTTCCTACATACATGTTTTTGCTTTTGAAAAAAATGGTATCCTACAGTAGTTGTTTTGTGGCCTTTTTTTTATTATGTGGCAAGTGACTTTCCATATGAATATACACACTTGTCACCTCTTTTAATGGCTATAAAGTTATCCTACTATATAGATTAAGAATTAGCTCCTTACCCCCTTTAATCCATCCTTTATTTGTTGTTTCCATTTCTTGTCTATTAAGAAAGAATGCTTTAATGACCATCACTGCACGTAGACCTTTTCGTACTTGTTCTCTTTAATTTCTTGAGTAAGTTTGTAAGAGCCATTAGGTGGGGCTGAGCAAGGCAGGCAGCCATGCAGAGTGGGAGAGGGAGGGAACGCTGTGGTGAGCTGAGGTCATTCCCACATGGACAGACCGTTTCCATAAATAAATAGACTGAAGATAATGGAAGCCAGGTTTCTCACTATTGAAGAATGAAATTACAAATAAAAGGAGAAATCTAGAATGAACCCTATAATGTTGAATTGGAACTGGAGGATTCAATATAAATTCTGTTTCCTCTCTCTCTCTCTTTCTCTATCTATATCTATATCTATATCTATATCTATATCTATATCTATATCTATGTACATACATACAGATATGTACATACAGATATTTACACAGATATCTAGATAAAAGTACAGATATAGAAATACATATACATGTAAATGCTTGTGTATACATACGTGTGTGCATGTATACTTGCTACCTCCTTCCTCTGAAAGGGTCTGGGAGCAGTGACGCCTAATAGCAAAAACACCTAGAATCCAGATCTTGATTTTTTAGTATCATTCTTCACTAAAAGGAACTGGGGTTCTTTGGAAGAATGGCCGACTCCAGGTCTAAAGCATGAGAAATGTGAGGAAAGTCTGGAAAATCTTGTTTTGCCATAAAGTAAAATATATGAAGAATGATGGGGATGTATCAAAAGGACACAGCGGTCAGTTTAAAGGGGCTCCCCTTGATAAAATCGAGGACAATATGAGCACCAATATAATGATACTAACTGAGAATAGCCCATACATAAATAGTAATCCATAAATCCACACTGACACAAATAAATGAATAAATAGGGAGAGGAAAAGGTTGTCTTTACAGTAGAATGACAACTAACAAATGTGAAAGAAATGATTTTATTGTAAGAATAACCATCTGGCAACATTCATAGTAATAATTTAGCAAGAAATAATCAGTGGATGCTAAAACAAATAAAAGTCTGAGGAGAAACGGGAAATCTACATAATCTTAAAGTATCTTCCCAGAAAATACTTATTAACTTACAGAGAGAAAAAGAACAATTTACGGTAGAAAAACGTGATATCAGCAACCACTTTACTGAAGTGATCGAAGTTATCATCACTAGTAATATGACAAACAGAAACCACATACCACTTGATATGGTGCAGTAGAAAGAACACATCGTTCTATAATATTCCTGCCAAAAATGCATGACCTGAATCTAATCAAGAGGAAGCGCTAGATAAACTCAAACCGAGGGAAGTTTTACAAAATGACTCAGCTGTCTGGATCGATCCAGACGCATCAGGAAACAAGGAGAGATGGAGGAACCGTTAGAGACTGAGGGAGTTTAAACAGATGTGCCAGGACTGCGAGTAAATGCAACGTGCGGTCCTGAACTGGGTTCTTTTGCTATAAAGGACCGAACAACGGAACTTGTGCGGAGCCTGGGGATCCGATGGGAATTACGGCTCAATCTTAATTCCCTGATTTTGGTGCTTTATTGTTATCACGTAGGAGGACGTCCTTGTCGGCATTACTGAAGTTATTCAGGGGACATGGAGCATCATAATGGCAACCTACTTTCAAGTAAAATAGAAAAAAAATTATTTGTACTATGCCTGCCACTTTTCTCTGAGTTTGAAATTACTTCAAATTAAAAAGAAAAAAATAAGGGAAAAAAAGGACATATGCTATGACTCTTCATGTGTATCACTAAGTTATCCTTGAAAAGTTGTTACCAAGTTAAACTTCCCCAGGACAAAAGTTACACCCCAAACAAAACAAAACTTTTTCATCCAGGTGAGAAACCAAACATGTTTTCAAAAAGACATTTAGATGCTCAGAAAGGGAACTCGAAGGGTGTACCCCAAACTAGCGACAATGGATATTTCTGAAGAGAAAGGGGGGGATGCAAGGAGAAAGTGAAGAAAATGATTTATATCTGTATTATTTGAATATTTTTTCCTTAAGAGTGTATTAACTTATTACCTTTAAATTTAAAAAAAGGAAAAAGAAAAATGACCTTGAGGGACACATTTGCTCCCGAAGAAGTCTAAGAGGAGAGGTTACAATACCACCTCTGAATTTCCTGCCAGTATATGGAAAGTTGGTGTGTATGAGCATTATCAGCATTTTTCTGAAAATATGGGCAACAGCTTTCATGGTATTCCCAAAGAGAAACACTGCATTATATACTCCCCAATACGACGGTTATGTCTGCATGTGGGCTGGGTCAGAGTGTGCTTGTTATGAAGATCCTAATGCTATGCAGGCATGCAAAATCTAGGATTTTGATACCCTGACACTATCTGCCACTGTTTAGTTAAAGTGTTTAAATCTTACAGACATCGGGGCTTTATCTTTTTTTACCTGAAAATTCATATTTAGCACAGGACATGTCAATGGTAGATTCCAGGTCAATCTTGGAAACGTCAGAAAGCCAAGTCCGGAAATCTTCAAACAGAATTTTCCTAGAAGTGTAAACAAAAGATGACCTGTTATGCCATGGAGTGGGCTCCATTTGGATCTATGCCACAGTTCTTTTTTCCTGGAGCTGTGGTTTATTCAAAGGAGACTCATTCCCAAGAATGTTCTTCACTTTAAACTTCTATAGTTTAGGATTCCTAGATCATATCCTTCATTATTTTCTCTGGATAAATTCTTCTAAGTGAAACTATACTACTAAAAGGTAAGCCTAACTTTTAGGGTTTTGATACATCTTTCAAAACCATCTTCTAAGAAAGACTGTAGCAGTGTATAAAAGTATCGACACTTCTGTCAACAGTGGAGATTTTGTGTTTACTATTTGCCAACCTAATATGTGAAGAACAGTGTTGTTTCCTTGGTTGCTGAGAAGGTCGGACATATTATCATTGAGAACGTGGGCCCTAGAATCAGACTTAGGTTTGTATCTTGGCTTCCTTGATTTTTACCTAGGTAGCCTTGAAGAAGTTACTTAATTTCTCAGTCTGTTTCCTCCTCTACAAAATGAGATAATAATGTCAACAAAGATTGTATAATATAACATTTAAAGAATTTAATTGTCAGCCTGGCACATATTAGGCACCCCACAAATATGATTACTTGTTTACCTTAAAGCACAGATGTGAGGCTCTCTTCTCTTCTTCAGATCATCAGACTTGATCATGAAAAAGACAAAGAAAAGATCCCTTTCATATGTTAGACACACGGAGGAGAGCAGTTTAGTGAGTACTCCGGTGGGATAAGAGCCTGGACTCTGAGGTCAAACCGCCTGGTCCCTCCATTTGGCCCCTCTGTGACTTGGCCAAGTTACTTAGCTTCTCTGTGCCTTATTCATTCAACAAAGATTTACACAGTCATTACTGTGGTCCTTATATTCTGGTTGAGAGAGACTGACGATAAACATAAAAAGTCGATTATTAGTACAAAAGGTGGTAAATGCACAGGAAAAACACAGCAGGGTAAGGACTGGGAGTGCTGAGAGTAGGGAAGGGTCTGGAGCTAGGAAAGATGGCCGGGTTAGCCTGCACTGAGAAAGACTCGGAGGAGGGTGGGAAGTGTGCCAAGGGACTCTCCAGGCAAAGAGGACGCAGGACCCTGAGTGTGAGGCTTGCTTGGCTTATGTCAAGAAATTGCAAGGAGAATGTGTGGCTACAGCAGAGAGTGAGGGGGGAGCAGTAGGACATGAAGCCAAGGAGGCAAGCGGGGCCTGAGAGCCATCCCAAGTGCTTTGGATTTCATTCAGGGAAGTGAGGGACCAGTGGAGATTTTGAGCACAGGAGTAACATGATCCCATTTATGTTTTTAAAAACGGAGAGAAAATTCAGGTAACATCAAATTGACCATTTTAGCCATTTGAAGGTGTGTAATTCAGTAGATTTTAGTATATTCATGATGTAGTGTAACCATCGCCACGATCTAATTCCAGAACACTTTCATCATCCCAGAAAGAAACCCTGTGCCCTCTAGGCAGGCAGCCCACATCCTCTCTTCCCCCAAGCTCCTGGCAACACTAACCTACTTTCTGCATCTCTATATTTTTGCCTGTTCTAGACATGACATATAAACAGAATCATACTGTATGTGGCCTTTTGCATCCAGTTTCTTTCACTTAGCATGTTTTCCGGGTTCACCTATGTTGCACCAGTATTAGTACTTGATTCCTTTTTCTGGCTGAGTAACATTCCATTGTATGGATATGCCACATTTGTTTATCCATCCATCAGTTGATGGCCATTTGGGTTGTTTCCACTTTTTGGCTACTATGAATAATGCTGCAACAAACATTTGTGCACTAGTTTTTATGTGAACACATTTTCAATTCTTTTGGGTCCATTTTCATTTTAAAAGAACATAATGGCTGTGATTGTGTGGGTGGGCAAGAGTAGAAGCAGGGAGACTGGTTAATACACTAACAGAATGATCCTGAGGAGAGAGAAAGATGGCTTGGATCAGCTGCTGGCAGTGGAAGCAAAAAGATGTGAATTTTTCTGGTTATATTTTGAAGGTGGAACCTGCAGAATTACCCAATGAACTGGACAGGAGGTGTGAGGGAGGAAACTAGGATGACCTTAAGGATTTTAACCAGAGTCACTGGAAAGATCGAGTTGCCATTAACTGGGATGGGTAAAATTATAGATGGAGATTTATGGGGAGAAGATCAGGAGTTTAGTTCTGGACTTAAGTGTGAGACACTTTTAATAGAGATCCAAGATTAGAGGCAAAGTACAGGGCTCCCTGGAAATCTGCTTGGTCCGAGGGCTAAGCCCGGGAGTATTTTATCATTAAGAAGTCAGAGACAAAAAGAAGACCTCCCAAAGGAAACTAAGGACTCGCCAATGAGGTAGAAGGAAAACCAGGAGAGCGTGGTATCCTGAAAGTAATGCGAAAAAATACATCTCCAGGAGGAAGGAGTAACACAGTGCGTCAAACGCTGCTGAGGGGTCAAGGAAAACCAAGCCTAAAAACTGATGATCCAGCTTACTAGTGTGGCTGTTGTGAGTGACCTTGACGAGTGTAGTTTCAGTGGGGTGTACTAGGTGAAAGCCTGATGACAGGGGCTTAACAGAGAATGAGAGGAATTTGAGACAGTACGGACAACTCATAAAGAATGCTAGGGACAAGGGAAGCAGAGGAAGGGGGTGGCAGCTTAAAGGGAAAGTCAGACGAACAGAATTTTTTTTCTTAAGATGAGATGATTAGATTTTTTTTTTTTTGTATGCTGAAGAGAATGATTCAGAAGAGAAGGAAAAACTGATGTAGAGTTTCCTCAACTATAAAGCAGGAATAGTATGTCCTTCATAGGATTATGAAGATTTATTGAATTAATAAATATAAAGCACTTAACATGGCATAAAGCATGCACTGAATAATGCTTGCAATACAAACTACTGGGCTACTCCTAATGACAAACTTGGTTAGGGGGACTGGAAGATGTTATAGACTCCTCAATTATCAAGTCAATTCACAGTACAAGCAAAGAGGGGTACAGGTAAAGTTTGAAGAGACAGGAGATTGAAAATAGGTTTTACATTTACCGTCTTAGCATGAAGAAGCTCAGTCCCAAAGTAAGCATAGTAAAAATTATTCACAGCAGTTTCCCCAAGCACCCATGGGGATCTAAAGTAATGGCTTCTCCCCACCCATCCCATCACCCAGGACCCTTTCTATTATTTTGCCTGTCACTAATTTCACAGTTAGATGTGTTTTAATCTACCAAATTGCACTAACTAAAAACCACTGTGATTTCTCAGTTTTGGTAGTCAGAGATGTATATAGCTCTAAACCAACAAAAGAGGTCTAGTGCTATAAAAGTTGATACAATTACAAAGGCAGACAACATCATTTTTAATTAATCTATGCAACTTTACTATGGATAAAGTTAATTTTCATGAGGTATTCGGAATTATTATGAGTCACATCGTTTGTTTATTTAACCCGGTTAATTCAGTCATATGTCCAAGGCCCAAAGAGAGACAGATTGGGGGACACGACTAGCTGACAATAAGCTCTAATGTAGAAGAATGAAAGCAAGAAAAAGAAATCTGTTATTTACTTTCTTATCTCAGATAAAGAGAAGTCAAAGGGAAAAGGCAAAGAAAACGAAATAATCTTTACCTTTTTCATTTTTAATTTTTTGTGTGTGATTTTAAGGGCTGATGTCCTTGAAGTTTCATAAATGATTTTCAGGAATGATGTATGCCATGTACTCAAAGATAGCTCCCAAAACGGGGAAACCAATGACCTATATTTCTATCCCTAGATTGGGCCTGTCTTTTAAGAGTGGGAAAACCAGCTTTGATTTTGAGATAGTCTTTTCTGCTAAATTAAACTGTGTGCCCAAAAAAGAATGGATCTAACTCTCTATAGGACATAGTACAATGGAGAGCATATTGCAATACATCAAGCCACCTCAACAAAGACATGAATCCAAAAATTTAAATGATTATTTTCTAATGTACAGCTCTCTTCGGTATACCACTCCCCAAAATATACTTAATCTCTTTGTTTATAATGTACTTAACTCATTGGCTTACCGTATTTCTTGACTGTCACCATCGCTATCACCTCTATTATTTTAGATTTTAAAGTATTACAGGGCAGGAACTGGCAAAGACTCCCGTATAATAATTATAGTACCTAACACATAGCTAACAGTAAGCATATGTTAAATGAATGAATTCTTTTAACAACATCAAGGCAAGGACTCTCCAAGGCAAACCCAACTAAAACCTCAAGTTTAAAAGTATTAAACAGTTTTATAGATAATAAATTTCTGAAGTAGAAGAGCCAATGGAAAGGGGCATAAATACCTGCTGGAACTTGTACAAATCATTATACTTTTCATGGAAGTCCAAATTCAGAAGTTCCTTCTGAAGCCCTTCCAAGAAGTTTTGGCTTTGGATGAAGTTTGGGATCACACAGTGAAGAAAGGGGTCCATGTCCATGACAATGGCTTCTGTTGGAATAAAAACATATGGCTTTTTTCCTTTTGTATTTTTGACCCCTGAGTAGCATAGTACAGAGAATACAAAAGGGGATGGTCATGAATTTTCAGGAATCTAGTACCTAAAGTCTAAGCTTTGGCGGAAAAATTATAAGCTCTTCTCTTTTTTCTTTATACACTCAATGCTACTTTTAAAAGATACTGTACTTACAATATTAGTCCTTAAGATGAGTACAGGTGATATCACTAAAGTAAAGTTTCCCGCTCTTTTGTGTTTTTTTTTTAGTTCAATGATTACTTGAGTCTTAATTTATTTCCCCCAAAACTTAAAATGAGAGTAGCAGATTAAAATTGAGAATAGCAATACCAGCTGGCAATTTTCCTTCAATCTCTTTTCTTTCCCCAAGTTACTAAGTTACGATACACATACTTTTTTTTTTAATCAGTTCAGGCATAATTTCCTCTAATTTCATGATTTCTCCCTCGACATTTTACCCACCGCTTCTAGTGGGCTAATATGTGCCCTTCTAATAATCATGTCATCATCACCTACCAAGCACCAGGCACAGTGGTGCTTTACATGTATTTTCATTTAATTTCAACAACTCTAAGGTAAACATTATCAGTATCTCCACCCCCTACAGATAAGGAAATTGAGAAGTCTCTGAGTGTACACAGCTTGTGCTTTAAACACTAAGCCATCATTTTCTATGTGCATCTAGAGAACTCAGGAGTCCCCTCTTTAAAGCACTTAATTGAAACAAAAATCATGGCAAACTTTAGACGGAAATGCATGGCGCATTAAGCAGCGTTCTTATCCTATATATTGGTATGGAAAGCTGGGGTTGGAATGGTTCACCGAACGTTTCTTCCCTTGGTCAACAGGTTTACTTTCATAGGTCATATAGTTGAACTATATAGGCACTAAAAAACCCGAGTAAGCTCAGGTGCCCGCTACCTAGCAGCTCACAACAAACGCTCTGGCTACACTATCATGGAACAACCGAGCATCATCCTCGGAGGCAAATATCACATAAGCCGCTCAAATATATGTCCAAATGTTTATTGGTCCTTACTCAGGGAAATGTCTATTGATGCATATGTGCATCGGTTTATTAATCTCATTTAACATCTTCCTAAGGTAAATACTATTAGCTATTCCATTTTACATAGGAAGGAACTGAAGTTTTGACAAGTTAAATCCATTGACAACATCGCACAATCAGTGGAACAGATTCCGTCAGTAACCCTTGATTCCAGAATTCGACCATCAACTTTCATGCCCTCTACTTCCCCAAACTCTCCGGCCTACATTTCTTTCTCTTCTCAGGTTTCTAAATCCAAACTGAACTTGGAATGAAAGGTGGCAGCAGGCCAGGCAGGAGGGTCGGAGGAGGCTCTCTTCAAGAGCCTCTTCCCTTGTGGGCTTGACTAGAGTGCCAGGACTCTCAGAGGCCCCTGGACGCCGTGCGGCGACTCCCCCTTCGCAGCACCCGGTTACCGTGACGGAACGGCGTCCTGTGGCTCCAAGCCTCGGCCACCTGCTTTTTCAAGATTTCCTCCGTGACAGCGTCCGAAAACTCCGCCATCACCTCCTTCTTTCTCTTTTTCCCGGTCTGACCAGGACCGGGCTCAGCTGGCCGTTTCCCATTCATCTCTTCATAAGCTACAGACCCACACCACGCTAATCAAGCCCCTATTTGCCCATGGAGACTACAATTCCCAGAATGCCCCTTTCCCAGAACCATCCAATAGGAAATACCAACGTAAGAGGAGGCGGAACCCACACATAATTTACCAATGGGAGCTCTAGATCTTGCGAACATCCCTCCAGCGGTCGGTCCAATGGTGCTCCGCCTGGCAGGCCACGGCCTCTCTATTTCCTGCCGCCAGGGGCTCGGAATGCACTTCCGGCGTGCGTACGCTTCTCCTTGCTCTTTCACGTTAATGGCGGGCGGCTGCTGCTGAGTGGAACGCAGGTAACCGCTGCTGGCACCGGGAAAGTCTCCTTCCCTCCCCCTTTCCTCTCGCCGCCAGCGCCCGAGCTTGCCAGCATGTCCGTGGTGCCGCCCAATCGCTCGCAGACCGGCTGGCCCCGGGGGGTCAACCAGTTCGGCAACAAGTACATCCAGCAGACCAAGCCCCTCACCTTGGAGCGCACCATCAACCTGTAAGTGCTGCCTGGCCTTCGCGCGTTGCTTTCCTTGTTTCCCCGTCTAGTGAGCGCTCCTCAAGACTCCGATCTTCCGGCGCGACCCCGGCCCTCGGCGGGCTTCACGCCTCCCCACCACCCCATCTCCCGCTCGCGAGCGCACGCCTTTTCTAGCCCCCGCAGGCGCTTTCTTGTCCTCCAGCGCCAAGAGGTTAGAGTTCTGCTTGAGAAGGTTTTCCTTTTCCGTAAAGGCTCGTTCCAGTGCCCCTGTATTCAGTCATTATAGGAATAACCCAGGTTTGCTTGGAATTTATCTTTCCCCCACCTCTCCAGAGGTAACCCACCGTAAAACGTGTTTATCTTTCTAGCTGTAAGCGGTCGAGCCCTAGCTATAAGGCCTCGACTTAGGATTTTCAAAACTCTCTTAACTGAAATTGCATTTTAGCTCATGAACACATTTTTATTCATTCCTCTGCTCCTTATGCATTCACATGCCCGCCGCAGCGAGAGCATCCAGGCACCTTAGTAGGCCTCCACAGCAGAGGGTGGTTGCAGTTATGGTTGGGCTTTCAGACCGAGGAGGGGTCTAGAATGTAGCCCCAGGGAACCCATTGTGGCTGCGTTTTATTGTCTGCTTAAGCTCTTAAAGCCATTGCATTTCGAGGTCACTCTCACAAGTATTCTAGCTGTGGCAAGTAATTGGCATTTGGGCTGTGTCTTAAGAAATTATCAGTATGTGCTTTTATCATTCCTAAGAGTTTGTGAGGCACTGTGATGCTTACTCTAATGGAGGAAAGTGGCTTTTTAATGCTGGTCAGTGTTTAAAGGGTGCAAGATTTACTGATACTGGTGTTTGAGTAGGATAGTTTGGGTGTTTCTCTGTTTTATAGTCAAATAGATGAACCTTTTCCCCCTCAAAAGTGATTTGAAATTGTAAAGATGGTTATTTTTGTTTTATTTGACAAAACGTGCTGGCTTGGAAATTTAGGTTATATAAATGTTGGGTTTATGAAATCTGGAATTAGTAGAAAGTTGCGTATGTGCAAGTTAATATCTAGCTATTACATTAATAATAATATTTTAATTTCATATCACTTTCAAAAAATCCTCATAAGTGGAAAAGGCAAATAAATGTTCTTTTAAAAAATATGAGCATCGCTCTTGATTACTTTTAGAACTGTAAGAGGGTTAGAACGGTAAGAGGGTTTTCCCTCTATTTTCCTTGATTACTAGATCAGTTTGCATTGAGCCATAATGTAGTATTGGTGAAATGTTTTAATCTTTGCTCTGTTAAAGTTGATATAGTACTTTTCCTTTTCTATATAAAT